AGAATTTCTCTTAATTATTTCTGTCTTAGCTCATGCAATTAAAAAAAATTTTTTTTTTTTTTAGGGTTACTACATATCTAAACTACAGGTGCAAAAACTGTGTCCTCTATTTAGGCAGCTTGCTTTATTCCTTTAACTGTCTGCTAGAGTCTGGTGTTTTAATTTCAGAATGAATCTCAAAGTTAAGGTTTAACTACAGAACATTCTTAGAACAGTTTTTTGATGCTAAAATTAACAGGACATCTACAAAAAAAGGATTTTACATTGATTGTTATGTAAAAACTAACAACAAACATTGAGGATGGGATATTTTTATACTTTGATGGATATTGCATATGCACTATATGTCTCTGTGAAAAGATTTTAATTAATAATAAAACAACTTTTTACTTATCTGTGGTGTTAAAACACATCTTCACCAATTGAATATTTGCTTTTAAGCTGTGTTTGTAAATTCAGTAGGATATGTGTTTTATGTTCAATGTTCTGCAAATTCAAATAAGAAACTAAAGGGACAAGTTTAACAGTAATAACTAAACATTCTGTCAGCCTGACTATTTTCCCAATCTTTGGTTTTGCTTTTTCTCTTTCACCAGCTTTCTCAGCTGCGTGGGAAGGACAGGAATTTCACCTTGCTCCATGCCCTTCTAGAGCAGATCATGTTGCAGGAACCAGGCTTGGCCACTTTTACCCAGGACATGGCGGAATTTGAAACTGTCCCTGGAGGTATTTGCTCGTCAAGATTTGATCAAAACAGCAAAAAATACAAAACAACAACCAAAAAAATTTAATAAATCAGTGTGCTGCTTTTTGGCTATGGGCTGTTAAATTTTATCCACCTTTATATTCAGTATCACTGATGTTTTTTTTTTCTCCATCTTCTTTGGAAAGCTTCCATCAAAGGCTTGACGGCAGAAGTAGACGGTGAGTAGATGGCTTTTTTACTACTTGTCCAGAAACTATTGCTCAGTATGCTTACAGCAGGGGTGCCCAACCTTTTTTAAACCAAGATCTGCTTTTGAAGTTGATGGCATGCCGAGATCTACCAAGCCAAACACAAAGGATGGGCAGTATTTGTTTTTCATTTGCACAGGTGGAGAATAAACAGTAAGTCCAACAAACGAGGAAATTATCAATTGTGTCAAAAAATAGGTTGCAAAAACAGAGCTTAACACTCTTATAAGAACTTCACACCATATCTCACTAAAAACTACTGAAAAGAGCAGTCAAGATCTCCAGACAAAGGCTGTGCAGTCAAAAAATCTAAACAAACCAATTGATACACACACACACACAATCCAGTAGAGATTAGGGATGCACGATATTGGGTTTTTGGCCGATATCCGATATGCCGATATTTTAAAACTCATGTAGCCGATAACCGATAACCGATATCGATGTTAAAGCTGGACAAAAATAAGTAGTCATTGAAAATAGCAGTTTTGTTATCCATTTCTGACACTTTGAAAAATAAT